GGGTTAGATAAATTCCCAGTCTGAGCCTCTCCAGTGTGTTCTGGTCCTCAGTTACTGCTGGTTCTGATGATTTCCTTCTCCAAATGCCAAGCTCCCCTTCGCTGGCACATCACGCGGCTGCCCTAGCCTGTCTCCCCTTTCAGATGAGCAGTTCTCCAGTTACGTTCGCCTAGGCAGGATGCAGTAAAGCAGTTAAAAGAAAATGGAGCCCATTCGCTCGTGTCAGAGGAGTCTGAAGTTTCAGATAATTTGACAATGTCAGATAAACATCTCTCTACGTTCTCACTGAAAGTGGATTTTGGGCAGTTTCATAGATCTGGTTTCACGTACAGTTTTAAATATCAGGTAAAATTTTGGAAACCAATAGCAGGCTCATAGACCAAAAGTGTCCTAGGGACTGTTGCAAAGCCACATGAAGTTCCTGAGCACTAGTGTTTGCATTCACTTGAAGGAAGTTTGGAGACCCTCTGATGGAGGTCAAGAGCTCAATTTAATCTTTCTAGGGCAGATAATACTTTAAATTCAACTCTGCTGTGTGAAGTAACTGCAACAAATCCTGGTATGTGTATTACAGATGTCAGCGTGTGAGGTGGAGGAGCCTCGGGTGTGTTAACACTGTTTTCTCACATCAGATGCAGTACATCAAAAATTCGATTTTAAAATGTAAGCAAGTCCCTTCATAAAACCCTGTCAGCTTTGAGAGTTTTAGCCTACACCACTCTTCTCGGGAGGCTCTTCCAGAGATGGATCCTCTGAAGGCTGGGATTTTTTTTCTGATTCTTACCCTAAATTTATTTATGGCCAACTATTATCCCTTTGTTCTTAAGCCAACATTGTCCATTAGCTTTAGTCGCACTTCCCCTTCACCCATCTGCCCCTTCAGTTCTCCCTTCTTTTGGCCATCTCCAAGACACTGAGATAAATGAGTCAAGCTTTTGAAGTCCCCTCGTGTGGTGCGGGCTCTTTTCTTGATGCCCTTTCTGTTTTCCAGTTCAAGCGATGCCGTCTGAGCACAGGAGGAGCTCACCGGTGTGTCTCAGCGGAGTGCTCACCGCTGCCTGCGGGCTCAGGCACATGTTTGCTAAGCCAAGACGCATGGCTGAAGATGTTGCCCTGCCCAGACTGATTGCCACAGCTCAGGGTTTGTGATGTGTTTTGCCTCTGAGAAGACCCAGTTCGGTGTGTGTTGCTGTGACAGACGAGGTGGGACCCCAGGTTTCTTTGAGGGGCTGGATTCTCACCAGGTATATTAGTATCCCGGCACAGCATTTATTTTGCTTGTGTCAGTCACGAGCCAATACTGGGTTGTGCATCAGGCGCTGCGCTTACCTGTTGTTGAATTCGTGCTTGCTGCCATTGCTAAAGTCAATTTGTATCTCGTTACTCTGGCTCTGCACCTGTGGATCAGGAACAGGAGTCACTATTCACTTTAAGATAGCACTTGATAAAATAGCACTTTGCCAGGCAGGCCAGCATTTTACTTCAAACATGACCTCTTTCATGACCCCTTTTTTGTTGTTTTTTTTTTTCTTTCCCAAAATGGAAATTATTACTGTGAGAGTCTCAATTTATTGCAGAAATAATTCAGCACATTGATGCATTTTAATCGGACAGATTTCAGAGTATCATAGTGCAGATCTAACAGCTGCATCTGGCCTTACATCTCGTTCTTTGCCAGCAGGGTAGTCCCTACTGCACAGCTCAGCGCTTTGTTGGGATCATTGTGTGGGTTTCAGTTTCACAAAAAATTTGCTGACTTGGCTTTTTAGCTATAAAGTAACTTGACAGCGCATATTTCCAAAACAAAAGACTGAAACCTAGAATCTAAACAGAAGCAGATTTACAAACACATATATACTACTTCAGGACAAAAACACATGCTGTGACTGAAATCCATACAGCCATTGAAATTACTTATACATTGCTTTTGACTTCCACTTCAGAACTGGCTACTGAAATTTCTCCAGCTTTTAAGATCAGACGTAGAATGGTGGGGGGTTTATTTATTATTTAATGCTGCTTTCGTCTGTCCTAGCCTCATGTAATATCTGGCTTGCTTGGGTTTGATTCTTTGTTTGTATGGGTCAGACAAGACATAAGGAGGGTAAGGAGCCATCAGCCTGTGAAACTGTCTCACACCATTTTTGTTTGCTCAAACTTTCAGTCAAGTTAGAGGGCACACTGTAAAGTGTTGTCTTAATTCAAATGCATTGTACTGTGCCTCATGAAAGTCATAGAGCAGAGACGACAACACATGCCTTAATGGGTGTGCTTCCTCGCATTTATGTATTCTTGCTGTGCTTCCTTCTTGCTCAGATCAATAAACAGTATTTCTTGCACTAGCTGAGCTGCATGGATGCCAAAGGGATCACAACAGGCTGCAATTTGACTCTGAAATGCTGCAGTGCATTCTCCACCACCCAGTTACAGGGGGACAGTCACCACATAGCGCTGAGATAAGGAGATTCTGGCATTTTAAGGTTTGGCCTGGGAAAGTGGTGAACAGCTGCAGTTCCCATTGAGATCAAGAAGTGCAGGTGCTCAGGAATTCCCTTGTGAAGCACCTTTTAAACAAATTCTTTTCACAAAAACTTTTCACAGTCACCTTTAAAAGCAGAATCTCCACTACTAGGGACTTTCAGTTCCTCTCTTTTTCCTGGCAGTTTCACATTACAGGGACTAGTGGAAATTGAACAAGTTGAAGGTTGCAATCGGTCCTGTCTAGAAGCAACCAAATATAACCTGGAACCGTTAAGCGTGCACCCTTGGGGGTGTTTTTAAGTAAATGGAATGAAAGCTCCAAGGAAAGTGGTGTGAGCCTTTCATACATGACTTTATAGCGTTCTCTATAAAGATACAGTAAAATAAAAAGCTGTTCAAATGTACATATATGTCTCCTTATGTTGTGCAAGCTCCACTGCAGAAAGTGCTGCTTGCAGCCTCTTCCTGTTTTCTTCCCCATACCGAGGAGCTGGGGGGGGGCACCGAGCAGCTGTGTGGGTGCTAGGCTGTTGCTTGGGGTGAACCCACCACACCCAGTATCCTGGTGTTTTAAATAATCTTGCACTTAAGATGCTGCTTGAAAAGGAAAAAGCCAATATTGAGCCTCCCTCTTTAACTAGTGTCTTCCCTTGCAACCTCTTGCTTGTAGTAGTACATGGCAGTTACGAAGCACTTCCCGCTTCCTTAGGATTGTAAAAGTGCTCAAGCAAATTAAAAGCCTACATCCTGCAAAAAATATGTTTATGAACCTATCTTTGTGTTCTCCTAAATTCCCAAATCATACATGAAAATGGATCTTAGGCTGCTGAGTTACTGTGTTGCCGTTAAACCTCACAAAAATCCTGTGAAGTAGATAATTTACTATTTCCATCTGAGAGATGGTGAGTATGAGGTAAATTTGTCTACTGATATGCATCTTGCTGCTAGTGCCAGATTAGTGACTACCTGTTACTGATTGCATTCAGTTTCTTGACTCTTGTTTTACCCTATGAGAAGATGGAGACATAAATGCCATATTTGTTTTCATGGTGTGGGAAAAGATGAAGCGGGTTCTGAAAATAACAGAGGCATTGGATACCTAGATGAGAAATATTCATTACCTTGCACAACACTTCTAGCCTTGCCCTCTCTTGCCAAAATGGTTGAGCCCTGCTGTTCCTCTGGGTCATTGCTGTAGAACTGTAACAGGGAAGAAGGAAAAGAAAAAAAGACCCAGGTGAATGGGAATAAAGGACTTTAACTGGTGAAGGGATGCAGTTGCCTTCCCAACCTTAGTTTCTGGAGCTAAAGAGACAGGACTTCTGCTGCCACATAGAATAGGCTGGGAGGAACGAGAGGGCCAGACAGTGTAAAGATGCATGACCCTTATCCATGTCCGCTGGCACAGAGCTGCAGTGGCTTTGGTTTCTCATTGTTCTGATGAGAGATAACGCAGTAGCTCCCTCGAGGAGCGCAGCTTTCCTTGCCTTCAGCGTGTCCCCTGCGCTCAGAGCCAGGGCCCGTGAGGGGCATCGGCAGCCTGCCCCGCGCCCAGCTCCATCCGCTCAGGCAGCCGGGCTTGCGCAGCTCACTCCACCGCTGCTGCCCTCAGCGGCCAGCGTAACGTGGACAGCCCCCAGGCTGGCTGGGGTTCCCCAGCGCCACGGTAAGCAATACTTGCTGCCCTTGGTAGTACCACGCACACGGTTGTCAGCTCAAAGAGCAAGCAAAAAAGTAAAAGGGTGCCGCAGAGCAGTTTTGACCAAATCCTGTGGCTTGCATTGGTAAAAATTGCAGGGCTTGGTAGTCTTCCTGTTCAAATATTAACTTGAGTGATGAGGACTTTTTATTGAAAAGTCTCAGTGTACTGTTGTAGGCTGAACTTTTTTCACCTCTGCTGGCTAAAACCCTGTTTTATAGAAACATGGGCATGTGGGCTTGATAGCTGTTCAATCAACCCTCGCGTCAGCAGTTGACTTTCAGGCACTCTGTTGTGCAAGATTAATATCATCTTAATAAAAGTAACCTTGCATGCATTCAACTCTGCTTTCATGCGGATATCTGAAAGCAAGTTGAAGATGGGTTTGCCAATGTTACAATCAGAAGGTAAAAAAAAAAAATTTAAAATAGCATACAAAATATTAACAAACATTTTCTGCACTCTGAAGTTGTCAGGAGAGCATGTGATTCTTTCCACATTAAGAAGGGAGTTTCTCAAACAGTTCAGCAGCTGAGTCCCAGGGGCTGCGCTACGCAAAACGCTTCTCCTTCTCAAGGCAGCTTTTACTACAGCTGAGTAAATGATGCAAGTAGGTACGCATGGCTAAAGGTGGGCACCAGCAGGCAGCGAGAGGAGAAGTTCAGATGGGAGCTCTTCAGGGACAGCCAAAGCCACGTCCTGCGTGTGGTCCATGTTCCCTCCTCGAAGGGGCAGGTCTGCATTTTGCAAGCGAGCAGCTCATCTTGGGTAAAATGTCCTCCCTGTGCTGACACTTGCTTTGTCTTCATTTTGCCTACAGTGGCTGAGGAACCCAGGTGCCCAGCACGAGAAACGGACTCTCTTTGGAGACATGGTGTGCTTTTTGTTTATCACTCCGCTGGCGACCGTCTCTGGCTGGTTGTGTTTACGAGGAGCAGTGGACCATCTGCACTTTAGTAGCAGGCTAGAAGCTGTTGGCCTCATTGCACTCACTGTCGCACTCTTCACTATTTACCTCTTTTGGACCCTAGTAAGTATTGTTTTTCTATTCAACTCACAGGAATAAGGGAAGGAACAAATTAGAAAATTAATTACACAGATTGCTGTAGAGTGGGTGGACCATTGTACACAGCATTGCGTGTATTTACCTTCTGCACTGATAACTTCTGCACTGAAAAATTTAAGTTAGATCTGCAAGAAACCTCTTGGTTCCACACCACTCAAGTTCTCTGGAAAACCAGAAAGACAGTTTGCCTTTGGGGTCAGTAATTCCCAAATCCCAGACACCAGAGATGAAAACAAGGAACTAACATAGAGGAGTTCAAGACAGATGCTACAGGAGGGAATTTCATCAAAAATAATATGCAGAAGGTGAAGACACAGTGCCCAAAAAAGCTTTAGGTGAACAACCTGGCTACCACAAGAGGACTCAGATATTATTCTAATCCAAGATCTGACCAATTTTAAAATTCAGAAGGGGTAGATGGGGGTGCATCCCATGCTTTTGCCATTCCTCGTGCTCGTGGCGCTGTGGCAAGTCCATGGCAGAACACACCGTACACCCAGGTCTGTAGAAATGCAGCTGCCTGTGCAGTGCAGATTAAACTGCTGCCTTACTCCCATCCTGCACCCAGGTGTGCTGCCTCTTGGATGCCAATCCGTCCTAAAAGCTGCTTGTTTTGTGCCAAGATGTTAAACTGAGATCAGTTACTGGCCCCAGCACACCAACAAACAGTTGGCCCAGCAGAAATGAAGGGGACCCAGAGGACAGCTGCCAGAACAAGTGTTTATCAAGCTGTGATCTAGTCGTTCACTGAAAACCCCATGTTACTGTCGAGTCTGAGATGTCACCTCTCCAGCGCTGGTGGAGGAAGGAGAGCAGAACAGCGGACGCAGACGGGGAGCATTCACACCGACAGCGTGATGCTTGCACGACGGTGCAGGGCTGTGCTGGTGTGGGAGGAAAAGCTCGTCTGAGCCTGCACTGCCCTGGGTGGGGGCAAGAGCACCCTGCCTGTGGTGCTGGCACGGCCACGAATGCCGCGGGCCAGCACCCAGCTCTCCCCCTCTGTGGGTATGGCTGACCCCTTCCAGCAGTGTTTGGTCAGCCCCAGCTGTGGAGGAGGTGACACTTCAAGAACTGCCTTAACAGAGCTAGTCCACAGCAAGAAACCCCTGTGCTGAGCCCACAGTAAGCTTGGAAAAAGGGAGGTGAGGGGAGACACAAAAAGCCCACACCACCTAAAAACTAGCTCAAAGAAAGCTATGAAAGGTAACATCTCATTCACTTCATTCATAACAGTGAAACCCTGTCTCCTCCGAGTCTCCTGCAGTTTCTGTTTTTGTTGTTTCTAATTCCATTTTCTGTGAAGCAGCAGCAGCAGCACTCCCCTTTCACAGGGTGGCCATTTACTCCAGCAGTGAGGTGGCACTTGTATGTGCTGCAGTACTGTGTGTAGATACGTCTGTCAGGTATTCAAGCAAAGATTGTTGAAGTTTCGTTTGTGTATGACTGTCTTAGAAAGCCAAACACTGTTTGATTTACCTAACACACGTAATTCACAAGCACCAAAAACAGCTGGAAGTTGGAAAGGGTAGTCAGGCTAAGTAGTTGGATTTAATTACTCATGACACATGGACATATCTGACCTTGCTCATTAAGACTTCTGCAGCATCTCATTTGTAGTCCCTAACACTGTCTGTTGTATTTGCATTGGAAGTAACAAAAATCCCTTCTATTCACTTTATAACTCTTACCCCTCCAAAAGCATATGGAGAAATGTGTTCTAGGCACTTGAAGAATATGGTGATAGTGAGCCTGATGTAAATGCATACCTTGGTTGATAGAGTTGAAACACAGAATCTTTAATGTCTGCTGAGTAGTGTAAGATGTAATTCCACTCTAATCTGTTATTCAGAGCAGCAGGAGGTGGATGGGCTAATGAAGCGCTAATGAAGCACTGTGTTCATGAGGCAGGGCAAGGCAGGAAGGCTTTCTGGTGGGAAGGACTCTTGGGCTCTCTTTGGGCTCTCTTCACGGTCCAGAAGGTGCCATCATTGCCCCCACAGCATTAGTATGGGACGTGGGAGTTCTGAGGAGGTTTAAGTATGTCTGCAGATGAGGTCAGTAGGCGTGAACGACGGTGTTTTCACACACCTGCTCAGAGGGCATATTTGCAAAGTCAAGGTAGAGATTTAAAACAGCTACTTTACAAATGGCACCGAGCACCCTGCACACAGAGGACATGCCCGAGCTCTGCTCAGCAGCCAGAGACCCGTTGGTCATGCAGGAAAGCCCCAGCCTGCATTTGCCTTGGGTTGGCTCCGGGCTCCCCTTGCCCTGCAGCGGGGAACGGACCCACACGCAGAAGTGCTAACCCTGTCAAGTGCTGCAGCAGCACCTGCTCTTTAATTTTTGGAAATGGAAGAATTCTGTACTGCTCACTTAGTTACGGCTGTGCAGGGAATATACTGAGTGCTGCAGGGTAAATTACACACAACATGTGATATAATGCTCCCCTAGGTCCTGGGAAAATTGAGAAAACTAAAACTTCATTTTACTTCCAGTAAATCAGCTTATTTTCTCTGGAGGCAAAAGCTGGCATATAGATTATTTACACATCACAGTTCTCCCGGAGAGAACAGGAGAGATGCTGTTTTTAGCATCCAAGAAGCTATTTTATCCCTTCCCCTAAAACAGCCAAATATTCTGTAAAACACTGTTGCTTTTTTTCCTCTGCATTTAATCACTGTAACTGATGTACGCACACAAAAAAAGCCTGCTTCTCCCAAGAAGACAGCTTCAGACACAATCCAGAGATTGCTATTAAACTAAGAATTCGGGGCCACACTCTGTTTTTGTTTACACACAGGTCATCTTGACTCCTGTAAGATCAGGTAGCGGGCTGGAGTACAACAGGATCTGCCCCTACAGCTTCCAGTATGACGTAACTGCTGGTTCTAAACACGGGCTAGCCCGAATTAATTCAGAGTAAGTTAGAAAGACAGACACTCCCCCCCCCTTGCTGTCCTACTGGAGAGTCGAACAAAGGAGTTCAGTGTGCCGAGGACCAGTGTAAATCTGGCCTTTGTTCGCCATCTGGAGAGTTTTGCATCCAGTGTAACAGCTCAGGGTGGGTGACCGTAGCTCTGCTGACGTTCAGTAGCTGACATCACTTGGGAACTGCCTCCGGGCAAGAACCCATGGTAAACAACCTGTCAGACTTAACTAGAATATCCCATGAAAATGCCTTAAACAAACACGAGGTTAAAACCTGGCTTAACAATGCAGCAATTGCTCCAAGAATCTCATGTGATGCTACTTGAAAACCTAAACCGTAGTTCACTCCTCTGAAGCAGCCACTGCCTTTTGCATGGCATTCGTCTCTGCAGGTGTTTGGGGTTCCCCCCTCCCCGCCCTCCCTCTACCAGATGATTTCTGCTTATACTGCAGTGCCTTTGAAAAAGAGATTTCTCATGTTCGTTCAGATACAATGTTCCACAGGAACGAAGATGCAGGCTGCTCTACCTTCACGGGGAGCAGAGGAGACGGAAAGGTGGGGAATCAGTTCATCTGTTGGAAGAGCTGTCTCTGGGCAAATGGTTAGTGAACAAAAGCCCTGTAGGTTTCTCTCGTTAACAGCAGACAGCTGTGTAAAGATAACATAAAAAGAAATCAGAAAGTGTTTTTTTGTCCCTAGCAGGGTTTTACAGAAAGGTAAACAAATTATTTAGTTAAAAGCACCCTGTTTGCAATAAGAAAGGGGTTTGGAAGGATAGGCTCCCAGATATGTGCATTATTCAGTATCCCTTCACGCTGCACAGGCAGCCGGCCTGTCATTGCTGTAGGTGTAGGAAGGTGAGGAGCACAGCCCCTTTCCACCGCACTGCCAATTCTCTGCAGACCGAGTCAGCAGCATCTTCCTTCCCGCCACCCGCGCAAACCAAGTGTGTTACCTCCGGCCTTTATGGCACCCTCTGTCCCCTGAATAGCACTGACCTACAGAAGTGGCACAGTTGCGTACAAACTGGTGATGCACGACCGGCTGCACACGAAGACAGAACCGCTGACGAGAGAAGGTTCCTCCGGTGCTCGCTGCATGGGTCGCTCCTGCCCACAGCTCAAGAACACAATAATTGTCATGGGGCGTACTTCATCCAAAAGGTCCCAGGGCGGTTCACAGGTTGGTCTGTTGTTTTGTTTTGTTGTTTTTGCTTTTTAAACTGCACGTGTACATCATCTTACACAGACATAATTCCCACTACCCTTGGCTGTCACTAAAATAAGCAGCAAACTATTTTAAAAACATATAGAGCTAAGCTATCTGGTACATCCATAGCAGTCAGTCACTTCTTTTCCACTAACAGCAGAACCACACTACAGTTGACATCAGTTAGCTGACAATAAAAAAAATTCAAAGACAGACTAAGCTGAGATACACACATTGGCAGATGTCTCGCACTCGCCTTGTAGCGTCTGTGCAATCCTGAATCTGACGCATTCAGCAGTGACGTGTTACGAGGCAGAGCACACAACCCTGTCTGTCAGTGTCTGCACTCCTGTCAGCTACCTGCAGGCCTCCACCGTCCAGCCAATTACACTGTCTCTCTGTCAGCTTAACAACTTGCAGCGTGGTAGTACCCCAAACTCATCCTCATTGCACGTGGCTGGGAGTAACCAGCTCCTGGGAAAGACACAGGCAGGATATCAGATTTTTCATGTTATTACAAAAGGGAATGGGAGGTGGGCAACAGCAGAAAGTAGGGCATAGGCTGCTTTTCTTCTCTGCTGTGGCCACTTGTGGTACATGGCAGGTCTCATCTTTGCCTGCCACTTTGTGCTCATTTTTACACCCCCCCAGTTAAGCTGCTTAGCAGCTTTTTGTTCCGCTTGAAGGTGTTTCCCCCCAAACCCCAGCTGATTCCCTGGAGGACCGCGGTGACTCTAAAGACAGTGTGTCTCTCTTCTCTCCCCAGGTATCCTTTAGGTATCACTGCAGATTATACAACGAATGGCGCCGGACCAACCAGCAGGTGATACTCCTAATTCCAAAGCCTGCCAACATCCCCTCCAACCAGCAGTCCCTGCTGGGCCTGCAGTCCCTCAAAAGGAACTCGAAGGAGACAATTGTTTGATTTGGGTAGTTCTGCACAGGGGCCATGCGCTAAAAAGATGTTTTCCTGAGACTCACTGGGGTCCGACACCGTCCAGAACCCAGGAGCGTGCTGCTCTGATTTAGAAACTCTTTGCAGGGGAATAAATCACTGAATTCAGATCATGGACACTGCAATCATATGATATTTGCTAAGCTGCCAAAATTGTTTATTTAGCAGATACTGTATGGAATTCTACAAACTCGTGTTAATACACACATCAAGGGATGCAAACTTTTTGTTGTTCAACATATTAAACTATGATAATGAACAATGGAAAACAAGTTTTGAACATGCTTTGTTTTGTCATTTCCCATTCCTGCAGGACTGTTTCTTGAGATAGCTGGACAGTAACCACTGCTGCTTTTTCTTTTCTAAAGCACAGCAATGTCATTCCTCCATTTGAGTTTATTTGCAGGTCCTTTATACCAATATTTTGGATTATTAAATTTTGTATGTAATGAGTTCTACATTATTTAAATGATATAAAGTGATTAGAAAATGATCTCTGTTTCTTCTGTGGCAGGGAAGTTCAGAGAGGAAAATTCTTCAGTAACAAATTTCGCATGTGCAAAAAGAAAGAAATTACACAAATTGTAATAATCTTCCTACTCGGAAGTATTCTAGTACACAGCACTCTGGAAAAAAATAATTGTACTTTTTTCCACTTAGAAGCAAGAAATTAGGCATAACATTCTGCACTGAAGTGCACATTCTGCTGATGTGAATTCAAACTTAGCCAATTTCCTCTGCATTTACACTACACTGAATTTAACTCTAATTGTATGACTTATTTTCATAAGGAAAACTCTCCTTACATAGTGAATGAGATCATTAGACATGTTTTAGGAAGCAGGAACTTGTCTTGTGTAAAAATTAGCATTATTTACAGCTGCAGAATTTTCAGCTTGACAGGTAGATTTAGCAGAGTGTATGCAAACCCTGACCTCTCGTTGCAGCACTGAGACTAAGGCTCTTTTTAAAAAATGTAATATACAGCCTACTTACGGTGACCAAACTGAATTTGGACCGTAAAGACAAGACTTTACTCCTGGGTGGCATTATCTGTTTCCCCTTGGTTTGCCGCCCGGTTCATTCAGCAATTCTTCATACTCAGAAGAGACACACACTTATGTAGAGAGACTTATTTTACAGAACTACACAAAATTTCATTAACAAATGTTACTAGAATTCAAAATTGATACACAGTCCCTTTGAATAAATTAATTTTTTAGAAATGTGCCTAGATGGCAATGCCACCATGTGCTTTGTTTTACAAACTGCAGAAACTGGAAATAAAAAGGAACACATAGCAAGAAGGCTAATAATTTGTAATTCATAGTTCAACATATTATGGGTGCTTACCATCAGACAGGAGCTTATTTGATGTTGTGTGCGCTTTATGGGAGAAAGCTTAGTATACAAAACCCAATCTGTTTGCTTCTTTATTCCGTCTTTGGACCAGTCTAGCGACAGTCATGATACTTAACAGTATTCTTTGTAACTGACAATTTCATGAGGATGTAAGAATGAACTACCCATATAAAGCAAGAGCAGCCTCATCCAGACATAAAACTAGTTTCACAGCAAGCCACGATGTGTAAGAAAATCATGAACTTGCAGATCTATACTCACTAGTCTGACAATAAGGTCGGGGGTTGGTCACGTTTGGCAGTGAACACTTGCTTCTCTTCTAGACAGAGCTGTAAAAGATTGTGAACGCACGGATGTCACAAACACTGCGACGGCCTAAAACCCATAGTGCTTTTTTTTCAAACCCTCTTCCCAAAGGCAACTGCCTGCTTGGGCAGGCAGAAGATGGAACATGCACGTAAGCGGAGAGTTCCAGGTTAAAAGGAAACCTGCTAGCCATGGGCACAGAAACAAAGCAAGTCTAGCTGGGCCAGGACACTGTCGGACAGTGTCTCAATGCCGACACATTTGCTCTTTCCTCAGAATTGTTGCTACTTTTGCTTCTTTGGGAGATACCACAGAAAGCTGGTCCACAAAAGAAGTGTTATTAAGTACTATTCTTGGGTTTGTTTCATGAAACAGAAGATTAGGATGATGCGGAATGAAGTAGCAACTAGAAAAACAGTTACTCAAATCAAGCTGCAAGGTAAACGCACACAGATCAGCATAGGGCCTTAGTCCAGCTCAACTATGTTATTTCACATTTCATTTTTTTGTTTAAAGACAGCTTATTTAATCTAAAGAAGGCATACTGAAGCAGTCAGAGAGAAAGTGTGGCCCAGTTTAGCAAACAGATGACTACTCTAGTTTCTCTGCTTGATGCACAGGTACAGAAAAACTGACTGGTGAAGTCACCAGCAATTGTCCCCCTGCGTTTTCTTGGAAGGAAAAAAAAAATGCCAGAAAAGATCCAGTCACACACTTACCCTTTTGCATTAAACCCATAGAAAAAAGCCCATTTCATACTCCTCCTTGGTTTTCCTAAAACATAAGAACAGGAAGGTGGGTGATATTAACTGTTATTCCCACTTCTGTTCTGAACTAAAGACTTGCAGACAGAAGGCTCCTCCTGACGAGTATTGCTTTTTCCTCCATTAGTTGAGGCTGTTGGTGCCACACCGAGTCCAAATTTCAATTAACAATTTTAAAACTGGATCATTACAGCAAATATTCTACAACAGCAGTAATACTCGTTTTCATCTGAATAGACGTGAAAGACAAGATTAACTGCAGCAGCAGCTACAGCTAGGAAAGCTCCTAGCAGTACAATGACATCTTTGTTACGCTATCCTTGAAGAGTTCCCAGTTAAGACAAAATAAACATTAACTAATGAAAGGATGGGGGAGCTCTCTTTTTTTTTTTTAAAAAAAAAAAATGTCACTCAACTTCCTTCCCAGCAACATGCTTTCTTCTCATGCAGTTGGCCTTACCATTTACATTCCTTTTCCATGTAAGAAGTTACATAGAAGGAGCAGTATTCAAATCAGTATTTTGAGCTGCAAGAGATAAAAGCAGCAGCAACTTAAGCCACCCAAAAAAACCCTCCAAGAAGCAGCAGACATAACAGCTTTGTTCCTTCCCTTCGCATCCTGCTTGCTGATGACAGAGATTGCCATCCAAAGTGTGTAGAGTTAAACCCACAGAGAGTCCACAACTCGGTGTTAATGAGGAATGCAATGCAAAGTGAGTGAAGTTTTACATTCAGTGGGTGGAAGAAACTGATACAGAAGGATGTAACTGAAGATTTAGAAACACCATAGCCTTCTGTTCAGCTGGAATAAGTCACAGCCTGAGCTGGATCAAAGACAGTTCAGGTTTTTGCATTTTTTTCTTTCTTTACTCACAACTGTATAGTCCTGCCAGACTGAGGCTTCAAACTTGTAATTTACATTTCATTTATTAAAAAGAGCTTTGCATCAGTTTCACTGTAGGAAATCACATTGGGCACTGTGACATCTCAGTACATAAGGGGTATCGTGGCCAATATATGCAACTGGCCTTTGATGTGATGAATACCATCAGAAATTGATCTGAAAAGCTACTGGGAGAGACACTCATGCACAAAGGGCTGAAAAGGCTGACCTTTCTCTTCCACCTGATCTCCGCTAGGAGCTCCTTGTTCAAGATTCAGAAAGAAATCTAGCAAAGGAGGCAGGAGACCTGCATGATTGAACAAGGAGCTTCTAGTGGAGATCAGGCAGAAGAGAAAGGTCCATGGAATGTGGAAAGAGGGACAGGCCACTTGGGAAGAGTACAGGATGTGGTCAGAGCATGCAGGGATGCGATGCAGAAGGCCAAAGCCCACCTGGAATTGAAGCTGGTAAGGGATGTCAAAAACAACAAGAAGGGCTTCTTCAACTACATCAGCAGCAAAAGGAAGGCTAGGGACAATGTGGGGCCGCTGCTGAATGAGGCGGGTGTCCTGGTGACGGAGGATGCAGAGAAGGCAGAGCTACTGAATGCCTTCTTTGCTTCAGTCTTCAGTGCTAAGACTGGCCCTCAGGAATCCCAAAAAAAAGGTAAGAGAGGAAGCCTACAGAGAGGATGACTTTCCCTTGGTCGAGGAGGACTGTGTGAGGGATCGCTTAAGCGATCTGAACGCCCACAAATCCATAGGCCCCGATGGAATGCACCCACGAGTGCTGAGGGAGCTGGCGAATGTCATGGCTGAGCCACTCTCCATCATCTTTGAGAGGTCCTGCAGGACAGGAGAAGTGCTGAAGGACTGCAGAAAGGCCAGTGTCACTCCAGTCTTCAAAAAGGGCAAGAAGGAGGACCCAGGGAACTACAGGCCGGTCAGCCTCACCTCCATCCTGGGAAAGGTGATGGAGCAGCTTATCCTGGAGGTCATCAACAAGCAAGTGGAAGAAAAGAAGGTTATCAGGAGTAGTCAGCGTGGATTCACCAAGGGGAAATCATGCTTGACCAATCTGATAGCTTTCTACGATGACATGACTGGCCGGGTAGATGAAGGGAGAGCCATAGATGTTATCTACCTAGACTTCAGCAAGGCTTTCGACACAGTCTCCCATAATATCGTCCTAGGGAAGCTCAGGAAGTATGGGCTGGATGAGTGGTCGGTGAGGTGGATTGAGAACTGGCTGAATGGCAGAACTCAGAGGGTTGTCATCAGCGGCGCTGAGTCTAGTTGGAGGCCGGTAACGAGTGGTGTCCCCCAGGGGTCAGTATTGGGCACA